GAGCTATGCAAAGCATCCAGTGCACAGGCCCATCTTGCCTCTTTAACTGCTCACCACATCTACCCCATGACTCTTTGCTAACCTGCACGTGTGCATGGAAACATCCCCTTTGGTGTGACAAATAAGTTACACACAGTGAATCAATTTGGCAAAATTATCTACAGTAAATGGGAAGTTTTCCTTATTACCTCAGTAGTAGAAATTTCAGCTATGGGCACTTATATTCTTCTTTCACTGTGGCGTTTATTTTTTTTTCCTAACAGTCTCTTTGGAATTATCTCACTTGCAAAGCCATGATTTGGGCAATATAGGAACCAATGCTGTGACCATACAAGACAGAGTAGACAAAGAAACAGCCACAGTCCCCTGTCCTGCAAGATCTATCCCTTGTTCTCCTAAAAGCTGTAAAAGCTTCCAAGACCAGCCAGAACTCAGCATGTGTTTCAGAGATCTGCTTTATTTGAAATTCTTGTCCAGCCACATGTATAATGGGAACACAACCCTTGAAAAACCCTCTCCAGTTCCACGTATGAGGCCAGCAGTCCTTAAAAATAGCATCAGCCAGGACAGAAGCTACTTTTTCACTCGTCAATCTGCTCTCTGATGAAAGCAAAACTTCATTCTGAAAGCCACCTGCTTGCAAGCACAGGACACAAAATGCCTCCCTCTCCACACCCCACCCCACAGGCACATGCACAAATGTACTTTGAGTGGGTTTTTTAATGGTTGCCTGTTTCCATAAAGCTCTAAACTTAGTGACAAGATCATTTTAATGCAGCGTGGATTGCACCATCCTGGTATAAGCATTACCAGTGCTATCAGTTTAATGTGGAAGACATAGTTGCAAACAAGAATGTTAGGAAGTTTTTTTTTTTAAGGAGAACGTTAGGAAATTCATTTTTTTCACAGGCTTATGTTTGACTGACTTAGATGTTGCAACATCTGGACCAACTTCCACTGACTTATGTGTCAGAAATCCACTATACAGCTCCCTCATAAGTACTACCATACTCTAGGCAAGATTCATGATAACGGCCTAAAACCTTCACTGTACTTCTTTAAGGATTTGTTGTTATTGTTGCATTTTCCTTTCTTAGATCAAACCATTACAATCATTCAGCCTAAGCTCTGCAAAACATGAAGCTAACACCTTAGAGTTCCTCTGGTAGACATACGATGTTTGCTGTTTTGCCCCAGACACATAACTGTTCAAGATGCCAGGTTTTGAACCTACAACAATTACTCAGTGAGAGGCAGAATGTCATTTATAAGCAGAGATGCTGCCTGTATTTCGCCTTTTCCTAACAGGTGCATAATCTGAGCAGGCACAAACATTCAGCCTTCCTTTGGCTGGATCCTACTCAAGAGGTCCACAGAAAATAAAGAGCTCCTGTATGCTTCCGTACAGGGCCTGCCTATATCTGTATTCATGCAAGCCAGTAACTTTCAAATCACATGTGCAGTGGATACAGCCCGTAAACTTCCTCTACAATCCTTGCAAAACGGGTCCAAACCAGATCTAGTGCACTTCAAACCTGAATAAAATTCTGCTTCTCATCGCAGGCTGTTCCCTTCTACTTTACTTAACCCTTCAAGCCCACACACGGCTTTGTGCGAACTGCAGCCAGAACAGAATCTCCTTCTCTAACTGCCAGGCCTCCTCCCCAGCGCCTTCCCGAGAGCCTCTCCCGAGCCTTTATCCGGATCCCACTGAGCAGAACAGCGCTATTTTAGGCCGCGCCCTCACGCTCAGCACAGAGGAATGTGGCTGGGAGCGGGCCCGCCAGGAAGCGCCGACGGCAGCGCTGCGCATCCCGCGGGCGCTGCGGCACCGCCGACCACGGCTCCGCCAGGCCTGCGCCCTGGGAACCGGGCCGGGCAAGGCTGCCTGTCCTGGCTGAGCCCGGCGCGCCTCTGCCGCAATGGGCACAGCGAGGTCCCGAGGGTCTAAAGCCAGGTTTGGCAGCCTCAGCCACCCAGTTCGCGGTGCATTCCCGCAAGGCCCTCCGCCGCCGGGACGCGAACCCGCGGCCCCGGAAGCACGGGAACCGTCCCGGCTCCGCACCCGGCGGGCGCCGCTGCCCCCCCCAACGCCGGCGTTATGTAACGGCCGCGCGCCGCCATTGGCCAGCGCCGCCCGGGGCGCGCGGGCGCGGGGGCGGGTCCGGCGCGCGCGCAGTGCCGGTCGCGGTCCCTCCTCCTCCTCCTCCTCGTTCTCCTCCCGAGCGGCGGCGGCGGGGCCGCGCGGAGCCTCCACAGCGCTCGGCAGGGCCGCCCAGCCCGGATCCCGCACGGGTGAGCCGCGCCGGGGAAGGGGGGTGGGGTGGGGCTAGGCGAGCGAAAGGGAGCGGTCCTGGCCCAGAGGAACCGGGGCGGCCCGGCCCGGCCCGACCCGACCCGGCCCGGCAGCGGGGCGCGCTCCACTCGCGGGCCGCCGCTCCCAGGCTGCGGCCCCCGTCCGTCTGTCCTTCCGTGGTCACTTCCCTCCCGCGGGGCACGTGGTGGGGCTGTGGCCGCCCCTGCCCCGCCGGGCCCGCCCGAGGGCCGCGGCCGCCCCCGGCCCCTGCGCGCCGCAGGCCAGGCCCGGGCCGGGGCGTCCTTCGCGGATCGGCCGCCCGAGCCCTTCGCTCCCAGCCGGGGAGGCCGCGGTGCCTGAGCTTCTGTGTGCCTCTGGAAGTGACAGCGGAGGCAGCTGTCGGTGTCCGATTTTCCTACTTGAAACTCCGCTCGGGTTCTGGTTACTTAGAGGGAAATGACCCCGTGTGAGGCATGGCTGTGCTGCGGGTTTCAGCCTCGCTTCCCGACAGTGCCCGTGCTGCTGCTGCTATTACGGTTTGGCAGCAAAAAATCCTGTTACGGTTTGGCAGCAGATTTTTTCCGTGTGTTCTGTTTCCTACGTGCTCGCGCGTTCTTTATTTGGAGATAGCAGGCTGGTTTGCTGGACTATGTGAGGGTGTGCCTGGTAGGGAAAACAACACTTACCTGCGTTGTGAAACTGAAATTACTGATTTGGCCTCGTAGATGAACTCATCGTTATTTTAAACGAGCTTTTGGATATTTTTTTTTTGGTCACTTTCTTAAAATAATAATAGTCTAAACCTTACTTTGTTTCAGAAACTCTGTGTTTCAGCTTGGTCTTGGACATTGTGTGGTGGTTGATATTTTTGAGCTAATGTTTGTGGTCGTGTTTTCTTGTCCGTGACAACTAAAAACAGCAGTTGCCAGGTACATAAAAACTCAGTGTGGTTGGCTGTAGTAATGTAGTGCTTATCAGGCACTAAAATACAAAGTAATATGCAAACACTTTGTGAAAGGAATTCTTTTTTGTTACATCTGAGTATTTTCTGTTAAGAATCCTCTGACTTCTGGACGATTGCTGTAATGCTGATAAAACAGAAGTGAAATAAAACCTTCTGTTCCTTCTTGTGTATGCAACACTATTAGCAATATATCTTCTTTTTTATTTTTTTTTTTTAATTTTAAATGTGAATCCAGTGTTCTGACTGAGCCATGCTGTATATAAACAGCTCAAGGCCCGGGCTGGGGTATTCTGGAGTAGTTGTAGCATCCAGTGAAACAAGACTTTTAGTCTTACTGTCATTGAGTGTTGTATCTTGTGGAAGTTGTTGGATGCCACATGTATTTCTGTCTGCTTGATAGAATTTGTGTTATGTTCAATTTTGTTAGCTGTATGGGCTTCTGAATTCTCTTTTAGAGAAACTGGTGGGGGAAGAGGAGGGAACGCTAAAGATGTAGCATAATACTTCTGTAGAGGGTTACATGGTGGTGTTTGATGCCATGAAAGAACCGAGCTGGGGGCTGAGGTGTCTCTCAATCCACAAGAGCTGTTCTGGGTCTCAGGGCCATTGTTTTGCTCACACATTAGGCACACGTCCAAAAATTCTCACAATATCAGTGAATTTTCACATGTTGTTGATGTTTCATAGAAAATTAATTTTCATAATGGTTTTTAAGGGCTTTTCATCCGTATTTACTAGAGGTTGGTCACTGTTTGGATAGGCTTTTCTCTCACGTTTGGAGGCTGCCTATGCTGATGGGAGGGATTGCGTGATGGGCCAGGTGTATCAATGCAGGGTATCTGTCCCACAAGTGCCCAGGTTACCCAGAGGGACAGCGACCAAGCAGCTGCCTTCCTGGGAACACCAGACTTTACTAGTTGTCCTGAGAACAGCGGACTTCACTGTGCCTGGGCAGTGTAGTGCTGCTGAGAGAGCTGCACAACTGAACCGTGTGGGCTGTGAGGGACTGGGGGAGAGACAAGAGCAGAAACTGGGCTGCTGGGTTATGTAACCACATGCTGAATCCTGTTCTGTTGGTGTGCCCAAATCCTGTCTGCTGTCTGCTCTGGGGGTGGGGTGCAGACTGAATTGGGTGTCCTGATGGGCTGCATGTGCAGGTGGAGTGTGCTGCTATGAAATACTATGTCTTGATGCTCCCTGAATTGTGACACTTTTGTCTCATTTTGTCTTCTGGTGGACCTTGTAATGGCATATGGCAATAGCATTTACTTGCTTTGTGCTCCTCTGTTGGGTGGATAATGGTTTCTGATGGGAGCAGTCTTTTTTCAAGATAACGTATGCACATAAATGTGGCTGAAAATAAAAATACAATAGCCAACTGTAAAAATCACCTTCAATAAAGAGGAGTAACCTATTGTTCTTGGTGTTCCCAACTTCAGAGCAGTTCACAAGCACCTACAACAGAAGACAATGATACACCTTGGGCAATACTTTGATTTGCCTTTCTTGAAACTTGTTTCGAGTTCCAGAGATAAAGGTTGAGTCTTAATCTTTAATTAAAAAAAAACCCAAAAAACAAAACCAAACCAAAAAACCAACAAACTCCTTGAATTTTTCAGTATCTTTTGGAAAAGAGAATAAGTTTCTATTAATTGTAAAGGAAACTTTTAATTAGTCTGACTATTGGAAACACTTTTCAAATACAGAGTTTGAATCTTAGTAGAGGAAGACACCTTAGAATGGCCTAATAATTCTGGTGTTTATTTTAGGAATGATACTGAAGCCAGAGGCTTTACATAGCAAAGAGCTTGAACAGATGTCTGTTGTGTTTGAGTTATGTGAGTTGTAGGCCTTGTGGACAGAGCGCATGACTGCATTGTGCTCATGGTGACGGCTCCTCAGTCAGATAGCAGCAGTAGTTTCTCATGTTTGTAGACTAAATGTCTTCTTTTTGTTTGTAGATATGGCTCGTGGACAGCAGAAGATTCAGTCGCAGCAGAAAAATGCCAAAAAGCAAGCTGAGCAAAAAAAGAAACAAGGACATGATCAGAAGGCTGCAGCCAAGGCTGCCTTGATATATACCTGCACTGTCTGTAGGGTAAGAGGAACTTAAGTCAAAATAATCTTGTAGAAAGAGATCTGTCTTCCTGCCTAGAGCAGGATTTTTAGAAGATTTTATAGTGGAAACTAAAATAGTTAAGTGGTTGTCTAGCTTGTTGCTGTAAGAAGCATTTGCATCTCTTCTGTGACTTGCTTACAGATTACTCAGCTGTACTGGCAGTTGAGATAGAAAATCTGAGAGGTCGTGTTCAGGTGTAGTTTGGGTAGTTATTTTGCCTTTTGTATTTCAGTGATCTGCATGTGCTGTTAGTATGAGATAGAACATGTAAAAAGTGTGCAGTCAGTTCTTGTTTAGTCTCCACATGGAAACGTATTTTCTTTGTGATGAAATTGGCCTGTCTTGGAATCAGTGGTTATGGGTGTTGCTGTAGAAAGGAGAAGTGGTGTTGCCAAAAGCTTTAATGTGAGTTTGATACACAGTAACTTTTCTAGAAAACTTATTTGACAAGCAAACAGAAGTTTGAGTGCTAATCAGATTGTACTTTTCCTTCTGTCTCATTTTCATAAACGCTTCTTTTGGAGCTGAAGGATAAACTTGCCATTTTCACTTCAATGGTCAGTCCCAGAATAGATCTGCCACTTCAAAAGTTTTAAATAAGATTTCAGATAGAGGGTTGCTTACTTAAGTACTTGTAACCAGCTCCTCTTGTTGTGAAATCAGGCTGCAGCATCAATCACTTTGGGCAGTTCATGCCTGCAACTGTGTTGTAGCAAAGGTCTGAGATAGTTTGTGCCAAGTAGAGACTTAGTTCATGCCATATAACTTCTTGGCTTATTGGTAAACTAAAGAAATAGCTTTCATAAAGATTTGGTTCTGAAAAGGATAAATGTTTGTCTTTAAGGTGTTAAAAAAGGAAATGGTGAGGAGGTAGGTTTTCCACCAAACCAGTCTGTGAAGTGTAAGATGTGCAGGGAGATACCTAGCCAGAATAACACCATTGATGGACATGCCAAAGCAAGTGTGATAGTAGTGCTTTAAAGCACCTCTGAAAATAGGCAGTTAAATACTCCATCTTACCCTGCAGCTAAATTAGTGGTGCTTCTGTCATTAGAGTAGTGTCATCAAGGAGGTAGTTGGCTTCTGGGGATAGAAAATAAAAGGTTTTCTGGTATTATTTAACTCTTGTACTGTGCATAAAGTTTAATGTCTCTCTTTAATCAGACTCAAATGCCGGATCCCAAGACCTTCAAACAGCACTTTGAAAGCAAGCATCCTAAGACTCCACTTCCTCCAGAATTGGCTGATGTTCAGGCATAAAGTTGTCTACAGGTCATTACCTTAATTTTTAATTGATTGTCTGAGAAAGGTGTGTTATCAATTGTTTTTTTTTACCTCCAACAACTGGGACTTAAAACTTGCTTCAGTTCTTCTAATACGAAAACTACTGTAAGTTAAAGTTATACCCCTGAACTGTTAAAAGTGGAAGAAAGAAGCAAGCTAGTTCTTACATGGATGAAATGGCTGTGGCATTCATTCTGTGTTGTAGGAATACTTCATTGTTTAGTTCTTACTTTGAACAAAATACATAAGTACAATCTGTCTGTTACTACAAAACATGTAATGTAAACAGTCATTTAGTATATTTCCAATAATCGAGCCTTTTTGTTCCTGAAGCTATGCAAGTGAATGCAGAAAAATCTGACTTTCTGTGTTAACTGTGGAAGAGATTTCCCAGTAGCCAGTTGTTAGGCTGTAACTGAAAGTGGTTATAATAAAAGGCTGAAATAAGGTAAAAAGCAGTAGTATGATATTTCATTCATGCAGAAGTGAGCAGCATTGTGTAATGGTTCAGCTTAACCGAGTTGTTCTTGTTTTTTATAGGTGAAGTCATGACACCTATTGACTCTTCTACTGTCAGACCTTACATAACAAACCTGCAGCTGCTTTTCTAAAACTGTTGATCAGCAAAAATGAAGGGGCTACAGAAACATTCATATTTTTATGCTGTTCCCTCTTGGGCTTCATGCAAAGACAATTCTGTGTAAATGTACAGTTGTGCCCTATTTGGAAATCCTAAAAAATCAGTCCATACTTGTTATAAAAATTTTTTACAATTGTAATTATATTGATGTTCATATTGTGTAAAATAACTCACTTAATAAAGTAGTACTTTGATTTTACAATATCACAGATTAACTCCTTGTAGAAATTCTGTTTCACCTTTCTGCATTATCTGCCTTATAAAATAATAAAAAAGACAAAAGTGGAATTTTCCCCATCCTGCCAAAACATGAGCAGTATCATTCCACTGCAAGTAATGTACATTACAGTAAAATAATCTTAAAGTGGAGAGGGAAGCTGCTCAGATTTACTGTCCAGTGTGCTGCCTGCTTGAGCCCAGCCAGTAGTGGTCAAGCTGATGGCTCAAGGTGCAACACACCCCTGAGCAGCTGCATGAGAATTGTGAGACTTCCTCCTACGTTTTTGTCCTATATACTGGAGTCTTAAGTACTGCAAGCTATTTCAAATGGGATTCCTTTACTGTGAGGGATCATGTTCCTTGAAGTCATGCACTGGAGGAACTCTGGTTATGCTTGTTATCCTTTCTATTTAGGTAGATGGCTGAGGAAGCTTGAGAGGTGGCAGGACTGAAATGCTGGCTTGAAAAATGCTTTCCAAATACTAGGTTAAAGCAACTCTGCTCTTAGTTGAAAACTAGATTTGAAAATATTTTTAATGATATTTTGAGCAGTCAACCACACGTGTTCCCTCTCAAATGTGTCTGGTTATTTCTCTCTTGAAGGAATACATAGAATAGCCAGCCATTAATAACCTTCCTTCACAACTAGCTTAAAATAAGCCTGTTGGAAAAGAGCCAAAGTCACTAAAATAATATGGCTACTTAAAGAAATCGGATATGATTAAAGTTGCAATGACAAGAAAAAGCTGGATAAAAATGGCCAAGACCATTTGCGCAGATAAACATAATTATCTCTCAAATGTTCTGGGCTGTGTTCTAATCCCAGATGTACAGCACAAAAGTAGGGGAGAAATATCTGAATTGTGCTGGAAGGTCTACTATAGAAAATCCCATCTTTGGCATTTTGGAGGGGGCTTAAGAGCTTTAGTTTTGACCCTGCATAAGAAGCAGTATTAGAATTGCTGTGATGTGTGGAGTTTATAACAGATGTAAAAATTCTGGCAGTCCAAGTAAGCCTTGCTATGCAGCAGGACTGTACATCTGACCTTCAAATGGCTTCCTAAAATCTAGGACCATAGTCTCAAAGACTCATTCACTTAAAAGAATGCACTTGGTATTTTATTATATAAAGTCAAAACCTTTGTCTTTGTCCATTCATTTGCTCTTTATTGAACTACTTCTGTGAGACTAGCTTCCTGTCCTCTTTGCTGTGACAGTATCTCTGTAAATACTTACTTTGGCATAAAGTTTCTCTGTATTATAGTCACTCTGGGATAACCTGTATACCACTTAACTTTTATAGATAATGTTATTCTCCTCAGCGTAATCCACTACTGCACTTGTACACCTGACATCAGAATGTAACAATTCATTTAATTTTCATTAATGTTATCAATACATACATCCTGACAAACTGGCTCCACAAGGCTTTCAACCTTTTGTGCTGTATGGGGGAGAGATACTTCAATGTTCTAATGCTGTAGTTTGTCTAAAAATTTGCTGAGTAGAAATGGAAAAGATGTTTCTTGCTCTGATTGGTATTTGATAATCTGGTTTTACTCTGGAAAATGTTGGGGGATGTATCCCTAAAGCTTGGGCCTGAGGTGAAGTAAATGTTCTATTCCTTCAATTCAGATTGTGTAGCATTAAATAAAAGACTTGTTTCATAAACAATCTCTGTTAATGAGCACTGAAGAGCTGGAAAGCTGCATCATTAGTGGGATGGTTACCTTCAGTTACAATTGTATTTTCAAAACTCTTAGGATGCTCAAGTTGAAAATACCCTGTGAAATGATGGGGTTTACCTGTCGGAAGGCAAGGATGATACTCAGTTCAGTAAGATCTGCAACTACAATAACTGCCATCTTAATTATTGAAGTAAATGAAAACTGTGACTGAATTGTTATAAAGGCTGTACTAAATGTGGCCATAGTCCTCTATCAGAATACCTGCAATACTTGTACTTAAAAGATCAGAGGAAGGACTAGTTCTCCATCATCTCTGATCTGAAAGACAGCACACCCTACTACCTGGCTGAAGACACAGTTGTGCATTGTAATGTGTCTGATTAAAGAGAATTAAAAATTTAAAACATAAAATGTCATATTTCCTGCCTGCTTTTAAAATCAAATATTGCTGTGCCTAGAAAATTAATTTCCTGGCTGTGGACAGCCATGTAACTTGAAGTTGTCTAACTGTGCTAGAAAGAAAAATAGATACGGAAAGTTTCCTTTATTCCCTTGAGAAAGATTCATTTCTGTGCAGGGTCAGCATTCAGTTATCAGTACGGACATCAACTGTCATGGATACTTGTGGAGTAACTTTAAGAGGAGTTTTGGATTTTCAGAAGCCTTAATCTTTTGGGAATCTCTTTAAGCAGCATCTGAAATTGAATTTTAAATGAGGCTTAAAATATTCTCAAAAAAGTCTCACCTTGGAGTGTAAAAAGTTAGCAGGTGTGGTTATGATGAGACCATCATCATGAGGACTACTGAGTAATCAAGAACAATTTTGCAATTTTTGTTACTCAGGCTTATTTCTGTGCCTCTGCTTTATCTATCTAAGGGGTTCTAGTTTCTTACTGTCAAAAAGCTGTGTGAAAAATCCAAGATAGAAGTTGAAGACAGTTGCTGTGTAGCCTTAGGGAAGTAGTTTATGCAGTGCTCTTGAAACATCCCTGGAGACCATCCCTTTTGGTTATTTGCTGAAAACACTTCAACTTAAGTAAGTAAAGCTAATGACCCCGGGCTGTTTGCAAACCACATAGTAATGAAGGAATTTGTGGCATTTCTGTAAACTATACCGATTTATATTCCCATCTTGATAAGAAGAGCTAATGGGTGGAATATCTTTTATCATCAGGTACTGATAGGCTTTCCCATTTTCACAGAAAAAAGTTGGGAATTACTGGGCTTTAGTAGAAGCATGATCTTCCAGGGTCTGACAAGTAAATTTGATTAGTCTATAGGATCCACAAGTGAAGTAAAGGTCAGTTTGTGTTTCTGTCTACCCAGCCACCTTCTTCTGTGTGTAATTTGGGGGCCTTTGATTTGCCTGTTTCGAACTTTATAGGTTTTGGAGTGACCTTTGAATTCAGCTCCAAATCTCACTTTGCATTGGTATTCAGTGTGTGATTTTACAAATTCTGTAGCATCATTGGCGATTTTGATCTAGTCCAGACAGTGGGAGGGTGTCAAGTGCTGTCTGGAATTTTTCTGTACATTTTAGAAATTATTTTGAAATCTTTTAGCACATTGTCTATTGTGTTAGAGGTTTTGTATAAATAAGGCACAAAGAGACTCACTGAGGGAGTTGCATTATCTTGGGAGCTTTCAAAAAAGAGGATTAGGTTGTCTGTGTGTTTTACAATTCTCTTACTTAGCTTTTTGTGCTGGGATTCCTGGGAAAGGAGGAATGTGTAGTTGTCCCAACATAGTTCCCTAACTGTTCAAGCTGTGTCTCAGCTTTTTCAGAAATGTGGCACAGCTTTCCTCTGAGAAATACTGTCCATTAAATATATCAAGCCAAGGTCCATGCAGGTCTTTGATGGTATGGCAAACATATTTTTGTGTTCCTTCTTTGTAGCTTTGACAAAATCAGTGTGCAAAGTGTAACTGAAAGCTGGAGCTCTTTCAGAGGACTGTGGATTAAGGGAAATCTCAGGAATTTATCTAGTCCATTTCCCTACTTTGAGATTGGATAAAATCTGCCAAGACGAGCTACCAAGTGTTCCTCTAACTCTTAAAAGTTTCCACTGAAAGGGATCCCACCATCCCAGACCTTGTAAGCAGCATGTATCACTGCTGAACTGTACAAGTGGACAGTTATCACAGCAAGAGTTTATCCCTGCCGCTTAAGTCAATTGCTTACTGTTCTTATTGGCAATAGATGTGATGAATAGTGCCTTTATTTGAACATTGCTGCTGTGTTCTCCTAGTCTTCAGAGTAAATCCAGTTAATTGAATCACTCTTCATAGGTCAGATTTTCTGAAACTGGCAATTGTTGGTGCTCTG